TAAGATAGCCAAGGTTGGAACGGTTGATATCCTTTCAGAGTCGACCTGAACGCCTTGAAGGTTCCACTTTCATGGGTTAAGAGCCCTAAACTGGCACTCCGTACGATAAGTTAGGAAAAAGTCCATAAATGGAAACTTATCAGTAAAAAATGGGCAGCCGATTGGTTTCCAATAAAACCCAAGATATGGCATGAATATGAATATCAGAAATCGGACAATCGACTGAGGATCGTCACTGAGAGTAAGTCTTAACAAAATATAATGAAATCCATCCAAAAAGGTAATGTAAAGGACCCTGAATATTTTCTTCCCAGGTGAAGATGATGATGCCATTTACCAAGAGAATGATAAAGGTATGCAAGGATGGGGATGGCCCAGGCTAAATAAGGGTCCACCTGCCATTTTGGTGGCTACATGAAAGGTCGTCGGACGAATTTCCCCGGAAGTAGTGAGGGAAGACAAATCCACTAAGCCAGCTCGCCAAAAAACCAGAAAGATACACATCATCAGGAATTCTATCTTTTCGTTGAAAAACCACTAATCGAAGTTGGGGATTCATCAATGAATTTGAAAGTCCAATGGTTTAACTTCTTGGATTGAGAAGAGCTGGCATAAATGTTGAAAAGCCCATGGCATGCCTTGGATGTTTTGGGATGAATATAGAATGTCATTGGAGAGGGGGTGAACTCCTCATTAAAACTCACCACGGATGGGGAGCCCACTAATGCGATGAAGGTCCCATAAAGAGATCCCAAGTTCGCCGTAAATGGTGGAAAGTGTTGGTGTCGGGTGACCACCGCTCTAAGAATCCTTTGAGCAGGGCAACATTCCTAGCATAAGCAAATTGGGATACATAGATTGCCAAAAAAAAAAAAAAGGAGTCTCATAATATAAAAGACTCTTGCAAAAGAAGTGGTGGCAGGTTTGGTTTATATGAAAATAAATCCAAGAGGAAGAAAGCCACAAAAGAAAAAGGCCAGTTAAACTCTTGGGTCTTACCCATCAAAAAAGGTCCATGGATTATAAGAACCCATAAAAAAGGGCCCATGTAAAAAAAAATAAAAAAATAAAGAGGTTGCTGCCTGTAAGCTGCTGTAAAAAATTTATTTATATATATATATATATAAATTATGCAGCTAAAACAGAAATATATATATATATATATATTCCTCTTTATTAGGATAATTTTCCTCTCCCCAATCAACAACTATGGGATTCACTTGTTTCTCTTTTCTCATAGGACTGGATATTTCCAGTTGACTTTTGGCCAGAAGGATTTGAAGGCAAAAGTGACAGCTCTTACTCTTCCTTCTCCCCCATATGGATATGGTGGACTGCTATGTTAGCACTAACTACCAGCCAAACTATCACAGAAGCCTATACCAGCACAAAATCTTTGTTGGACCTATGGTTGGAAATCTACCTGGAAAACATATTTTTGTGGTCTGCCAAACAACCCAAGTGCGCAAGACAAAGAAAGAAGCAGTTCTATTTGAGCAACAATTATATATAAAACATATATATATATATATATATATATAATAGAGTTTGCCAAATAGCATAGCAACAAACAGATTGATGCTATAAAATAAAAAAAAAAAAGAAGAAGAAGAACATCTTGTGGAAGTTAAAGCACAAGGAAAAGAAGTTGTTTGGTCTTAAAAGAAAGAGAATTTTTTTTTTTTTTTTTTGCTTAGCCATCATATATATATATATATATATATAGAGCCTTTGTTTGGTCTCATGATTTTAAAAGCTGGCAGCAAGAAAAATATAGTATACACACACATTATATATATATGCTGCTAAACAACACAGCAACAAATAGGTTTTTTCTGTGTGTACAAAAAAAATTGTTCATTCTAGAAGCAACGTATAAGAAAGATGAACAAGAAGAGAAGCGTACCTGATTAAAAGGAATTTGAAGGAATTCTTTTGTGTCTTCTTTAAAGTACAGCTTTTGTGTGGAAAGAAAAAAAATAATGGCTGGAAAGTTGCTGGAAATTTTCTGGAAAACTAAAAAAAAAAAAAACTCTGCTGGAAAAAAATCTGCAGGAAAAAAAGGGCTGCAGGGAAAAATATATGAATAGGTGTAAATATTAAAGGAAAAGTCTTGCTAAGGAAAGAGGTAGTGGCTCTCCTAAAATACTTTCAAAGAAAGACAAGAGTTTACGTAGGATTTGAAATTACTAAGTAAGAGTCTGTTCGGATTAAGGACATCCTACCAATAACAATCCATCATATTCCATTTAGGACAAACTCCTTAAAATATATATAGCTATATTATTAAAATATTATATATCTGCTGTAAAAAAAATCCTTAAAAAAATGGTGGCAAGTTGGAGGCCCACAAAAGAAAATGGCCCATTAAAAAATGGTGGCCTAGAAAAGGAAAAGTCCATGATGGTCTAGAAAAATCCATGATGGCCTAGGAAAAAAATCTGCTATAAAAAAAATGGTGGCAAGTTGGAGGCCCACAAAAGAAAATGCCCAATTTAAAAAAATGGTGGCCTAGAAAAGAAAAGGTCCATGATGGTTTAAAAAAATCCATGATGGCCTAGAAAACAATTTACTGCAAAAAAAAATAGTGGCAAGTTGGAGGCCCACAAAAGAAAAGGCCCAATTAAAATGGTGGCCTAGAAAAGGAAAGGTCCATTATAGCCTTAAAAAAAAAAAAAGAAAGAAAGAAATGGTGGCAAGTTGGAGGTCCACAAAAGGAAACGTCCAATTAAATCTTGGACCTTACTCATGACCCTTAAAAAAATTTAAAAAATAAAAAATAAATAAATCAAGTCCACAAAAAGGACCCATGCAACAGAAGTAAATGGCCCATGGACTATAAAGGGCAATTAACCCTTTATTTAAAAAATAAAAAAAAAAATCAAGTCCACAAAAAGGACTCATGCAACAAAAGTAAAAGGGCTCATGAAAAAGCCGTCAACCAAAAAAAAAAAGGCTAGGGACGAAAGCAAAGAAATAATCTCATCCAAGACCTAAAGATCATCCACATAAAAGTGCCAAATTGTGACTCGCACAGTTAAGAAAATTCACTTGTGCAAGTCACGAGGGGCATTTGTTGGCACATAAATTTTAAACCAAATTTATGTTTAAATTTCAAATACAGTCAATCACACACATAGAGCCTACGATAAGATTGTTGTAGGCAATCACTTCCCAAAATGATTAACTTGCTCCGTTGAAGTGTATAAATAAGACAACGTCGTATCTTAACGACGTTATTCAAGATGCTCAAATGACACGTGGAGCCTACGAAAGATGACACCTGTAGAGCCTACAGCAAGGACACCACACAGGATGAAACCCCAAAGATCAATCCGGTTAATCAGATAGCGCTATTATTCAAAATTTAAGTGGCGCTATCATTCAATTTGAAATTCAAATATCATTCAATTTGAAATTCAAATTGAAGATGAAGCATTCCTATCACCTAATGGCTCTCCATAAATATGAGAACCATCACACAAGATGGGGGATCGGAAAGAATCAGAAGTGAAAAGATCAGAGAGAGAGAGAGAAAGAAATTGAGAGCAACAAATCGTTACAAGAAGAAGAAGATAAGCCTAGAGAACTCAAGAGCCTACGCTAATGGCGATGAATAGGTAAAGGGTTCCAAACTCAAACTGTATTTTGTATTCGAGGGTTCAAAACCCATAACAATCTCAATAAAATATTTCTTTTTTTTTTAAATTGTCTTTTGTTGTTTATTTTGTTTTTCATTAATCGGAGGTTTCATTTGTATAAAATGTGTAATTAACGATCTGAAATACAGATCGGAAATAAGAACCTGCTATTCAAATAATCAACACTGTTTAGTCAAAAAAACTAAACAGTGGACATTTGGAACATAAAATTTTGAAATGTGTTGAAACACTTCATGTTTTAAAATTTGTGTCTACAAGGGTTTAATTCTAAGAGAAGTGAATATTAATTCCCTCAACAGTGCCTCGATTTTTTTTTTTTTTGGGGGGGTATATATATATTTTTAAAATATAACTGTAGTTACATCAATGACTCTCTCTCTCTCTCTCTATATATATCTATATATATTAATTATATGTATAGTTATATACACATTATTCAACAAAGCGACAACTTAAATGTGCCACAATGCCATCTTAATATTACAGTGGTAAGGAAGCCTTTGAAGATGTCAAAATAGTGCAATAACTCTTGCACAATGTTTCCTGAGAAATTTCTTGAGGAAAAAAGGAACATGGTTTAATTCTAAGAGAAGTAAATATTAATTCCCTCAACAGTGCCTCGATTTTTACTCCTTTTTTTCTTGAATGGACTACATACATGATACATTTATTGGTATTTGTTTATATTTGTTTATTTTCTTTTCTCCCTTTTGGGTGAGAAGGGTGAGCATAACTAAACTAAAATTTTTAGGGCAAGACTGGATTGTATATCACTTCCCTGGAGATAGGCCAACATAATCTCTTTTCATATAAGTCGATATAGTCCAAGTTGAGTGATTGACTTGCTGACACTATTGTGCAGATACTTCCGACTCAAGAACTGTCATCACTGTGATTTCTTTTTAGCCTTCTTACGTCGTTTTTTGGTAGAACTTGAACCAACATCCAGGGGTTGTTCGAGGGCTTGAGTTGGAGGCACAAAAACAATAGTTCCTGCAATTCCTGCAAGTGTTACTCCTTTTATGTTTGTGAGTGGATACATGGAAATTTGTAACTTCTGCATGGACACTTGACTGGTCTACTTGCTTCTTCTTTTTTTCTTTTTTTCCCCCCTGCATTGAATGGACTACATACATGATACATTTATTGGTATTTGTTTATATTTGTTTATTTTCTTTTCTCCCTTTTGGGTGAGAAGGGTGTGCATAACTAAACTGAAATTTTTAGGGCAAGACTGGATTGTATATCACTTCCCTGGAGATAGGCCAACATAATCTCTTTTCATATAAGTCGATATAGTCCAAGTTGAGTGATTGACTTGCTGACACTATTGTGCAGATACTTCCGACTTAAGAACTGTCATCACTGAGATCATCAAGTCTAAAGTGAAGGTTAATGAAGGAGACTCCACCCAGAGTGGCATTAATCCTGTGGCAAAGAGCACTGCAGGAACTATTGTTTTTGTGCCTCCAGCTCAAGCCCTCGAACAACCCCTGGATATTGGTTCAAGTTCTACCAAAAAACGACGTAAGAAGGCTAAAAAGAAATCTCGGGACGATGCTCAGTGAGTAATGTCTTTTATTGATCAAAACATTTTTTTTTTACCAAGGTCATTATTTCGGTTTATGATCCTCTGGTATGATGTTCCAACTTATATTTGTGCTTTTGAGTTTCATTGTCATGTTTAGCGACTTCTGTGACCCCTGCTGCATCTTCTGTGCTCATTTTGCATTTGCATATGGTTTCACAATTGTAGCATTTGGTATGATGGAAAATGTTTTCCATTACGGGAAACAAGTTTATTTGGACGGAAACTGTTTTTCATTTTTGAAAGATGGAAAACATTTTCTAGACTAAAGACTTACCACTGTCACCACACCATTACAAACACTATTCTACACCGTACCACCCCACCCCCACACCACCTCTGCCATTGCCACACCTCCACCACTACCTCTGCTATCTCCACCACCACTAGTACATTAGTTTTGAGGACGCAACCAAACATAAAAAAAATATTTTCAGTTGAAACAAATGGAGCATTAGTTTTTGCACTACCGTATGAGATTTCTTTGATTTCTTAGTTATTTCTGGTTTCTTCTTAAAAAAACTTCATGAAGATTATTCTTTTATCTTGCTTAATTAAGTTTCATTCTTTCTGATTATGCAGGTTGCCAGTTGCTGTGGTGGCTTAAAGTCAAATTCCTTCTTGTTCAGTGAGTAGCTCAAATGTCTGTATTTTTTTGTTTGGCAAAACAAAACAACCTCAATTTTGTTTTTGGATGTCCAACGCTCTCATAACAAAATGATCTTTTAATCCGACAACATTCTCAATATCGCATTGTTAACTCTCTTGATTGAGTTTCCCCTAGTTTTCTACACACCACTAAAACATATGAATGTATAACATATATTCTCTTTTTCCTGGGTGCTTCGTGTAGCGTTTCTGATCTGGTCGAATTAATCGAAACTCTTTCTGGAAAAATTTGCAGGTTTCAAGTTGTTGTGCAATGTTGCTTTGAATGAAGACCATCCTTGTCTCAAGCGTACTATTTCTTGTTTTTTTTTTTGAACCGTACTTTTTCTTGTTGGATGTTGAACTTTTTTCCAGTAATATATCAGATATGTACTAGATATTTGGGACAAATCTTACATTATCGATTAATGTGTTGTTGGTCATCTGTTATTAATGCTTGAACTACGGGACACCGTAGGATTAGATTAGAATCATTTGATAACCTAACAAAATTCTACAAAACTCCCCCCAAATTCACCAAATTCATGCAATTCTAATATTAATTTTTAGAACTGGATTGATAGCCTATGACAACCCCGGGATAGCATCGTCTAGAGTGTATTGATTGTCACTGTGTGTGTATATGTATGTATGTAATTGGTCAGAGATTAATTGTATTTATCATTATGTGTATGTAATCAGTCAGAGATTAATTGTATTTATCATCACATGTATGTAATTGGCTGGAGGTTAATTGATTGCATTGTTGTTGTGTATATATATATATATATATATGAATAATATTAAAGATCATGAAAAAAATATTATGAAATGTATCATGAAAAAAATATTATAAAATGTATTATGAAATTTTTTCCTTTTGATTAATGTGTAGTGTTTTATTGTATGTGTAATCTAAAGGTGAGAATTTTTCATGATCATACATACATATTTTTATGACTTTGAAGGAGAGGAATGGAGGTAGAGAGAGTGGTTGGCAGCGAAGGTGAATGAGAGAGATTGAAAGGAAAAAGAGAGAAATGACTCTCATGGGTTTGGGTTATTCCTAGTAGGGGATTAACATCACTGATGTAAACTATGAGTTCCTGCTTAATTGTAGATTTCATACTATACCAAATAAAAAATCTTCTTCTAAAGGAAAAGTGAGAAATAAAAATTTACTTCACTTTTTGCATTTAATTATTGTATTTTACTTTAAATTTAAAATTCAAAATCTAAAGCACAATTCTAAAATTTAATGCAAAGGTGAATGAGAATAGACTATCAAGCATGATATTTAACAACCCGTTTGGTAGTACTTGGAAGTTAAATTATTGAATTTTTTTTTTCTAATTTGAATCATAAATTTAGATAGTAATTTGAAAATAAATAAATAAATATGAAATACATTTATATTTTATTCATATTTTACTGATTTTTTTTCTTTGTCTTTGTAACCAATTTTTTTGCTTTTTTAGCCAAAGAAGCCAGTTTTTTTGCCAAAAAAACTTTCAAAAAAGTCAAAAAATTAAAAAGTCAACTTTTTATCAACTTTTCAAAACACTACGGTATTTAGTTAGAATTTTAAACTGTAATTTGTTTGATTTTTTAATTTATTTGACCTAAAGAAGTGAGTTTTTTTAAACTACGTGGAGAAAAGAGTCATAATTTTTTGAGAGCATGTATGATGTTTCCAAAAGAAAAAAAAGTGTAATGTGAAACCAATTCGTTTGGCTATTAATTTTGGGCTAGAAAAGCCTAAAATGATAAAATAAGCTAAATAAATTAATAAGATAAAATTTCATATTCAAATTATAATCATTACATTTTTTTCACAAAAGTTAAAAAAATAAAAAACAATACCAAATCAAACGAGACTAAGAAAAGCCCCAAAGCAAAAAAACTAACTAAAAAAAGTCAAATCATTACATTTTTTTCTCAAGAAAATTTAAAAAGTCAAAAAAAATACCAAATCAAACGGGACTAAGAAAAGCCCCAAAGCAAAAAAATTAACTAAAAAAAGTCAAATCATTACATTTTTTTCTCACAAAAATTAAAAAAGTCAAAAAAAAATACCAAATTAAACGAGACTAAAAAACGTCCCAAAGCAAAAAAACTAACTAAAAAAAAGTCAATGCCAAACTGCAACTTAATATTTTCATAGATTATCAAAAATTGCACTAAATAAATTCATAATTTATTTTAAATATTTTGCTCTAATAATCTAAGATGGTATAACCGCAAAAACTAATTTACAAGTAATACCAAACGGCATGACATTACTAATCAAAATTGGAAAGAACAAAGGTGCTTAAAATACCGAAACCGCGCATAAAATAATTGTTTGTCTTTGCTCTTTTGTAGATGAAAATGGATTAGCAAGGTCAACTTTCTCATAAGCCTTTCATATAGAGATAGGCTGGCCAAATCATAACTTTTTTCAATTGAACTTCTATTTCCATGTGCGTGCTTACTTACACATGTGCGTGATTTTTCCCACTTCCGCTTCTGCTTCCACTTCCACTTCCACTTCCCTTTTCTTTTTTTCTTCTTTTTCCTTTCTAGGAAACCAAACATGTGGTTGACGATCTTCATCGGGTTTGTGAAAGATGTTCTTAACTGTCATCATCGATGAGCAGCCATAATTTTTTAAATTCATGTTATTCATTGCATAGTCATTAGGAGTTGATATTATGATTTCTTTAATTACAAATATGCTTCCTAAGATTTAATTAAAATACCAATCGTCCCCTGTAATTTTAAAAATTACATTCTACTTTCTGAGATTTCGAATTTCATAATAAATTGCTCATTTTATTAATAAATCATTAGTCAATTAACAGTTCTTAATGATGTTAAAAATATGTTTCAATTAAGAATTTAGAAAAATTTATTATTATATAGTAGAGCAATTATGAATTTCATTTTTTTAGTTAATTCTGTTAAATAAAAAATTATAACAAGGGGGTATTTGTAATTTTCTAAACCATAAGGGACAATCTGTACTTTAAACAAACCTCATAGAATGTATTTGTAATTTACTCATAATTTTTAACTAAAATTTAATTAAAAAAAACTCCTAATCTTTTTTCCGAACTTTTCTTCTTTTCTTTCTATGTTCTTTCTCTCAATTGTCCTAGTTGTGCCTAATCTCTCTCTATTTCTCATTCAACCTTTCCCATTTCGCTCAGATTACCAAACAACCAACGCTGATAATTCTTCTAACTCGATTGCCTCTCTTGATTCTTGTGTCTTTGCACTAGATCTTTGAGCTCGTCATTACTCACTCTAGCTATTTCAACCATATTTATGGTGATATTTCTCTATCTACTAAATGCATCTATCTCGAAACTCTAGTTCTTTCATATTAATATGTCACACGTAAACAAATCTTTGACCCTAGTTTTGATTTGAAAGGTTTTGTTATTGTCAATTTCTACATACACACGTGTGTTCTAAAACTATTGGAAAATGATTTTTGGTATATATAACTAGCGGTGTATATCCTATTAATATTCGAATAAGGCTTGAGATAAAGAGTTATAGCCCAACCTATCGAGGAAATTTCATTCTTGTCCCAAAAACTATAAACTTCTGATCAATTTCACACATGAACTTTAGATGTTATCAATTTATCCCCTCACCTATTTAAATCGTGATCCATTTGCTCTATAGCGTCACATTTAGAACCGAAAAAAAAGTTTAAAAATATATATTTTTTGGCCCCAAATTTTAAATTATAGATCTAAATTTATCCATTCCCTTCTTCTCTCTCACCAAAACTACTCTCTCTCCTCTATCAATCAAACAATCATCATTACCGCCACCACCATTGCCATGTTAGTGTACTGCCCCCGCCACCACCAACCATCCTAAAACGGAAACGACACCGCCTCCAATGTCCCTTCCACACGCGATAAGCCCGTTCAGTCTCTTTTTTTCATCTTCTCTGACTCTCATCTTATATTCCATGGCTTCAAGTTATTGATTAGATTATTGAATGATTATCATTATATTTTGTTTTCTCAATATCATGAGAGATAGAGATTAGATTATTTAATTATTGGTTAATTAGACAATTTAAGCATGACTTCTTTCTATCCCTTTATGCCTTAAATGCCAGACTTTGACATCCAAAGGATAACCACATTAAAGTTTGTGAATAAAACAAGCTCACGAATCTACTAGTAAGGAATCTGAACATGTCCCTAGAACTCCAAAACCTATACAAAAGAGATCATCCCCACCAACCTCTCCCACCCACCAAACTAAATAAATACATAACTCACCGAAAAAACATACTTTTTCATAAGTAAAAAAAATAAAACTCACCGGCGAGAACCTTTCATGTATCCAATGGCCCAAACTCTTTCAAGACCATAATTCAGCGTGTTCTCAAGGCTGCAAATCAATGAAAACAGTATGGAAAGTTTAGAAAGACCAGCACAACCAAAAACTCAAATTTATTATATTTTCAACAATGTAAACATAAAAAATAAAAAACTACTATGTGAAATGAAATGAAATAAACTCAAATTTAGTTCGCTGGTGTATTTTTTATAATTTTACTTCCAAAAATTCAAACCAATTGAACACTATTCTATAAAAACTCCATCTTTACAAATAAGCTACAAAGGAATTTGCAACTTGCAAAGTGTCGCTACCAAGATAAAAAAAATTAACATTGCAATTGAAATTTATAAGATTGGTAATTATCCGGCTATATTTAGCAAGCAAAGTTGGTGGCAATGTGGCATAATTACAAGGTCCTTGAACTTGTGAACTCCATGAAACAATCCTTTGGTTTCCCATGACTTACACTTCTATACCATCTAAATTACAGCAAGCATCAACATAGTGCAAGAGTTCAGGGAAAGCAAGGGCAGAGGAGATCCTTAACACCAGATGCAAAAAGTCTCAATAAGAATATCTGAATAGAATTATACAGAGCCTTGGGAGAAGAGATAAGTACCACATCCTCAAGAAAAACTTAACATTTATTTAACCTATTATACATATATACATACAAACAATGATATAGAGACTTGGAGGACATCCAGAGAACTAATAAATAGAGCATTGAAACAGAGATAAGAGAAGGACAGGGATAGGGCTAGAAAGAGATCCTGAAAATGCCTTTACAGCTTTGCCATTTCATTTGAAAACTATAGATACCATGAGATTAATATCATTTACGCTTAACTTCAAAAGTACACCAGCCAATTCAAAGTCAACCTAACAAGTAACTCAGTGACCAAAAGGTTTAATAAATTGAAATATGATGACCACAGTAACTGTCCATGAGAGTACACAAAGCAAAGATGCCACTCTATAAAATAATCACCTAAAGTGCCATTAAATAAATTCCTGTCTCATATGACAACAATTATAAAAAGCAAGGGTTGGAGCAAGTTTATAACTTAAAATTTTGGTATTAACATAGTTTGACCACAAAACTTATCGATACGTGGTAGCATGCCATATACGAACAGTACCATCCTCAAAACCAGTAATTACAATGGGAAGTTCAGGGTGAAAACAAACAGCTGAAACATTGTGGGTGTGCCCGTCTAGTGTCTGGACACAACTTTTGGTTTGATAGTCCCACACCTGTTTTCATAGAATATAGCCAAAAATATTTTCACATTGTACATGTACATGAACCCAACAAAGAAAAAGAAGAAAAAGGAAAACAGGTAGCAAATCTTTGCAGTATGATCATCAGAACTGGTTATAAGATAAGGCTTATCACCACCTGTGAAGTAATCAACACAATTTACCCCTTTCAAATGGGCATCCAATGTAAAATTTGGGTCGGGAGAGCCAAGATTCCAAGTTTGAAAAAAGAAAAAAGGGAAAACAAAAACAAATTTATCAATGTGTGCATGTGCTTTATACCAAATTATATGAAATTGTAGTTAACAAGTTAGTAATAGACAATCCAATTCATACCTTTATAGTGCGATCAAGAGATGCACTTGCAAATGTGTTGGTGTCTTTCGGATTAAATGTCACTTGCATAACATAATGAGAATGACCCTAAAAAATTTGAGTACACGCCCAGTCCTTCTCTCAATCCCAAAGCTTTATAAGCATGTCATCAGACGATGACAGCACATATGGAAGCGTAGGATGAACAGCCACACACCTAATATAATCCGTGTGCGCCTCAAATACTTTGACCTTATCCATTGTATTGTAGTTGTAAACACGAATATACATGTCATCAGCACCAGCAACAACCCATTGTTTGCGCGCAATGAACTTTGCAGATCTAACTGCAAACCCATAGAGAAGATATCAGAGCACAGTAAAGCCCACATCAAAACAACAGAAAGCAAGAAAAAAGTACACGCTGACCACACAAACATAATGTAAAATATTAACTATGTACCTTGTAACTCAGTCACCTCAAAAGACTTCACCATCGTCTACGATATTAGAAAAAAAGAAATTGAAGTTAGTATCAAATGCTTAAGAATAAAATACTCATGATTGGCCAACTTGCGGCCCACAAAAAATAGCACGTAATTAGAGGAGGCCCCCAAAAAGCAGGGCATCAAGGATAACTTGATCTAGGATCTTAGGGCCTTCAAACCCATTGAATACGTGGAAATAGCTCCTATCACGTTCTCGCTAAGGTTAGGAATAGGGATGTTCAGAAACTGTATGGCATATAAAAAGACTAATGCTAATGTAAATATTGTAAAATGCAACTGTGTTAAACAAATTGGTTTCTAAAAACTTCCATCAAGATTGGCTACATATCATTGCAAGAGTTGGTATGATACCTCAAATTAACAAAGACAAAATGTGATCAACTATATTTTGCAAAAGAACTCTTGAGACACATACCAAAGTCTCCCACACAAAATATAAAGACGGTACACAAAGTTGGTCCATTAGGTGTTTTCTTGAGAAGAATATCTGAGTTGACATGCAATGCTTATTTATTTAAATTCCAGAGGTTTAATCAACAGTATTTGCAAAAGAAATCTTGAAACAGATGCCAAAGTCTCCTACACAATAGAAAGATGTTGCACAAAGCTGGTCCATTAGGTGTTTTCGTGAGAAGAATATCTTAGTTGGCATGCAAGGCTCATTTTTTTTTTTTTGATAAATAAAAGACAATATTATTAGCATGCAAGGCTCATTTATTTCACTTTCAAAGGATTGTGAACTGTATTTGCAAAAGAATTCTTGAGAAAGGGTTTTAAATATCGATTGTAATTTGTAACATTACATATCATATAGGTCATTGTCCACCACTCTCCAATATCGGCCAACATATACCGTATCACTAATATGGATACACATCCCGATACTGTTTCGTAAAACAGAGACATATGCCAAAGTCCCCCACACAAAATAAAGATGTTACACAAAGCTGCTCCATTAGGCATTTCCCTGAGAAGAATACCTAAGTTGACAATCAAGGCTCATTTATTTCAATTTCAGAGGTTTGTCAAACCTCTGAATTTTGTCCCTGATAGAATAGAGAGAATTTAAAAATTGAGACCCCATGGACATCAAATACCTATTCTCTTCAGTAAGCACAGTGGCCTCTCACCTTCATCCCTAACATGTAACTCCCCCAGTTTCTATTCTTGAAAAGAACTCTAGAATGAATAAAATAATCCTAAACAAAAAATTAAATTTTAAAATGACTAACTTCCACTTGTTATGTGTTAGGGAATTAGGGAGTCCACAAGCGCACAGCAATACTGGCCACATGATATTCTTTCAAGAATATGATTTAATCAATCCCAAATTGTATAGATTCCTTCTCATGGACCATCCAAACAAAGACATGTTTTTGTAACTATGTAAGAAGTGAAAACCGACATGAATCATCATGTACCACGAACAGAATTAATGTGTTAACATATGTCACCAGTTATCAGCATACAGGGGAAGAAAATTATATATATATATATATCAGTGTGTGTGTGTGAGCATATTGACTGAGCTCGCGCAAAAGAGAGATATCGTAATACGCCGTCGCCGCACCACCGCTAGCCGTCGTCGCTCGTCGAGAGAGAGATCATCGGTGAACACTCGCCGTCGTCGCTGTGATCGTCGGTGAACTCGAACACCGCTAGCTGTCGCTCATCGAGAGAGAGAGAGAGAGAGAAAGAGAGATCGTCGTCGCTTTGGGAACTCGAACTCATCTCTGTGATTTTGATACACGAACTCGATTTAGGGATTTTGGGGGTTTTGATGGAGAATGGTGTTAGGGATTTTGGAGGTTTTGAGGGAGAAAGGTGTTAGGGATTTTGGGGATTTTGATCGAGTGCCATTTCGGTTGAAGGAGGGAGATGGAATTTTTCAGTACTATTTGCAACGGTATAGAAAAACCTTCACAAATGATCAAATCCATTCATTAAAACGACGCTGTTTTAATAAGGGTTTTTTTTTTTTTTTTGCGACAGAGAACTTCCGTCACAAATGCCCACTATTTGCGACGGTAAATTTCACCCGTCTCAAAAAAAAATATTTTTGCGACGGTACACAGTGCGTCACGAACACTTCTGTATTTAAGAGACTTTTTGTTATGTGCTTATTAGCGACGGGGAAACTACCGTCGCAGAAAACATTTATTTGAGACGGCTTCATATGCCGTCGCAAAAGATCACTTTTTACGACGGAATACACGCCGTACCGTCGCAAAAAGTTCCGTGTTTTATACCTACTTTTCTTGTAATGATTGTTATAATAATTTATAATTTTTATTGGAATAGATTTGGTTAATAGAAATATTATGTAACTGGAAAAGTATCAAGAATTTATTTAGACTTGGTGTAGTGTGGGTCAGTCTCAACATAAATTTGATTAACATTTAAACCTTTGAATGTTTTTTTTTTTTTTAATTTTTTATTTTTATTTTGAGTCTACTAGATTAATTATTGTTTGGCTGAAACTAACCTTTTCCAAGTTCATCTCAAGCAGATTCATTAGCTTGGCAGTACCCGAATAGTCACAAATGCGAGGTTAGGCTGTGAAAATGGAGGAGTGTGCACCCTGCCCAAAGAGTAATGACTATATTCACTGAGGTGTGTTGAGCACGCTTCTGCAACTGGCTTGTTCAAAAGTCTCAGCGGATCGATAGATGCATTTGGGCCTGGAATTAATCTGGAGGTTGCCTTGGGCCCTCCGAATAATGATCATATTGTGCATGGTCCTGTTCGTATGCCAAATGGGACTCTTTTAACTGTTGGTTCAAATGGGTCAAGCACTAGGAGCTTTCATGTTGAAGGCCCTGTTCTCTGTCCTGCTTCCTTCCCCAACCCAGATAGGTCTGCCAAGAAAGCTGGGAAAAAGAAGGTTCGGATGGAAGGTTTTTCTCGGTTTGCTCGTCTCTATGGTCATCAATCTGCAGCTATCGGTAGGCTTCCATCCAAGTCCGTTATTTTCAGGCCAGCAGCAGTGGCCCTTGCACATTCTGAGCTGTCTGAGGGCGAATCAAGCATGCATACCTATCTCCTCAAGGAAGCGCAGGCCACTGTCCAATTGGGGAAAGATCTGGGAATTAATTTCTGTGGTCAAGAAGAGGGTGTGGTTGATAAGATTATGGAGATGGAGCTTAAGGATAAGGAGAGATTTTTAAAAGATGGAAATACTTAGATGTAAAACAGGGTGTAATGGGTGTATGGAGTGGGTGTTCTGCATCAGGAGGATCCTTTTTCAGTGTTTGGGTTGTTACCAGTGGGGCTTATGCAGTGGGTGTGTGGAGTTTAGACCGGAGTAGAAGTTTTGTTTCTTGGGTGTATCGGTTGGATGGTTGTAGTGTTCTGATCTTGCAATGGGTGCTCAGAGATTGGCCTTGGGTGTATTAAGTTGCAATGGATTCTCAGTGGGTGCGTTTCTCAGTGGGGGGTGGTTTGGTGTTAAGTTCTGCTTAACCTGTAATAGCCTCTGTTTTTAGTTTATTTTTTTGGTTTTTTTCTTTTAAAAAAAAAAAATCATTTGTTTTTTTTTCAAAAAATAAAAATTAATTTAATAAAAATAAACATCAAGAAGATATTTTTAAATTCTAAAAAATGTGAATGTGCAATAATAGCAAATAAAATTCACATACACTATAAAATATTTTGAGAGAGAGGTGTGCAAAATGAGACGAAATTGTTTTGTTGCTTACTTTATAGGATATAGTTTTGCCTATTGAATTAATCGACACACAATTTAATACACTTTTCAGATGATTAAATAGAATGATGTACATAAGTTCATCATTTCATTTGTGGAACATGTTTTGGCTGATTATAGTTTTTTATTAAATAGTTAAGAGATAAAAATTAAATCACTTATTATATATTATAATTTTTATTTATTTAAAATATTATGTAAATAATATCTCATAACATATTTTTAAAATATTTAATAAATTTTCAAAATTAATTGACCCATTTATCCCCAAATAATCAATTAAGGTTTGGTTTGGTAACTCTCTATTTTAGGGTTCATTTGGGAAGTGGATTGATTTTTTGGTTATTTTAGCTTAGGGTTAAAAAATCTCGTTTGGGAAGGAATTTTTGGTTTTTTTGATTTTTTGTAAGAGAAAGAAGGTAATGATTACGAGTTGGATGTCATATTTTATATATTTATTTTTTGACTATTTTAACTAAAAAAAATCCCAAACCTCATCTTTCCAAATGAGCTATTAGTTTAAAAAAATACTAAATGCACTACAGAAATCAATTGCATTCTCTCTATTATTTTATAAAAATAAATAAATTTTGAAATGAGCCCTAATTGACCAGGTGGTTACTTATTAAAGAAACTTTTGATTGATTTATTTATTTATTCGTTGGGAAAAGTTTGATTAAGCTGCTACGGAGAGAGAATGCAATTTCCCAAACAAGTTATTAGTTTAAAAAAAAAACTACTAAAAATGAAGAGCAGTGCTGCAGAGCTCTAATTAGAGCTGCACTGCAGCAGCTCTAATGAGCTGGCCACATAACAAAAAAAAACCGCTCTAATGAGTTAAAAAAAAAAAAAAAAAGTGAGGTAAAAGACAAAATATGAGGAAGAAAAAGACAAATTAATGCTCTATTAAAGCTCTCTTTTTAGAGGTCTAAATCATTGTTCAAAAATGAACTACAGAAATCAATTGCATTCTCTTTATTATTTTATAAAAAAATAAATTTTGAAATCAACCCTAATTAACCAGCTGGTTACATATTAGAGAAACTTTTGATTGATTTATTTATTTATTTTTCAAAAATATTTAAGGATGCGTTTGGTAGAGTTTTGTAAACATGATTTGAGAGTATGAGTTGTATTTTGAGTTTGTGAGTTGTGGAATTATGATTTGAGTATAGAAAATTTGTTTGGTTATGATTTTTGAAGAGAGTTTTGAAAGTTTGAAAGTTTTGAGTTTTGAAAGTTTGATTTGAAACGTGAAGTAAGAAAATTTGTTTGGTTATGAGTTTTAGAAAGAGTTTTCAAAAATTAATTCAAATTGTTATAACTCATAACAAAACACACTACTTTCATACTATTGAAAATTCTGATCAACACTCATAACCAAACTGTTTTTAAAATTCAATTAAAAAAATTTATTATTAACAGAAAATAACATTAATCAATTTTTTAATTGAAAATACTACAAAGGAAATAATTTTTTTTTTCAAAATAAATATTCAAAAAATTTAAATAATTTAAAATGTTAATATTTTAAATTTAAAAGCAACTATACACTCAAATTGTAACCAAACACATAAAACAAAACTCAATTAAAAAATTATTTTTAAAACTCAAAACCAAACACACAACTCGAAATTGCATACTCCTTTTACAACTCTACACTCAAATCGTAACCAAATATATAACAAAAAAAATTAAAATATTTAAAAATATTTTTATAAAATAGACTTTGAATTTATTTTTATAAAATATTTTAAAATTTAAAAAATTAAAATCGTAATATTTTGAAATTAAAATATTTAAAAATATTCAAAAAATTTAAAAATTTAAAAAATTGTAACATTTTTAAATATTAAAATATTAAAAATCTTAACAAAATTAAAATATTTTTAAAAAATTTAGAATATTTAAAAAATTAAAATATTGATTTGAATTGAGTTTTGAAAAGAATTTTGAATTATGTGTTTGGTTTTGAGTTTTGAAATGTAATAATTATGTTTTGAATTGAGTTTTGAAAAATGGGTATAAAATTATGATTTAAAAGCTCAAAACAAACAATACACTCAAATCAATGGGTGAAACTATAATTTGAAACCCTAACCAAACGGAGCCTAAGAGTTCTAAATTAAGAGTTTTAAATGAACTATAATGGATGTGATTCACTTATTGATGTGATATTTTGGCCTTCTTTGTTTTCTTTTTTTTTTTTCATTGTCACATAAATAGAGCTCAATTTAATACTCCACTCTTAGAGCTCTCTGTCATCTCTCTATTTTTTGGAAAAAGTTTTTTTTTAACAACTGTTGGGAAAAGTTTGATTAAGCTGCTGCTGAGAGGAAAAATGCTTGGAAGCATTAGAAATGGAGCACTAGAAGAAGTACCAATGATGTGGCAGTGGACCCCGCCCACTTTCTATACCTTGTTTCTTTTTTTTTTCTTTTTTTTTTTTACCATTTCCAATGCATTAGTGCTATTAGTGGTGTATTTTTCAGTGGTCTAAATCATTGTTGCTGCTGAGAGAGCGTGCAATTCATTAATTAGGATTCGTTTGGAATATGGATTAATTTTTGTCTTTTTAATTATTTTAATTTGGGATTAAAAAATTTTATTTGGAATAATTTTTTTAACTTTTATAAAAAAAATAAAATGATTATAATTTAAATATGATATTTTATTAGATTAAAAAATTTATTTTATCCTTTTTGAACCCAAAGGATTAAAAAAGGAAAAAAAAAAAGCAAGCACGAGCAAAGCTCTACGCACCACGCGCATGCTAGCCTGTCTCATTAATGGCATCACTCAAAAGACATATACGACTATGTCCCACCACTTCAAATCTCTCACAACTGCTTCAAATTTTCGACTCGCTTTCTCTCTCTCTTACACTGATACTGCAGGTACTCTCTCTCTCTCTCTAACTCTCTCTCTCTCTTACTGCTCTAAGAGCATCTCCAACCATACTCTCTAAAATAGCTCATCAAAGTACACAGAAAACTACCTTATCTATTTTGTCTATCTAGTTTAGCTAGTGTACACTCCAACCATACTCTTTATTTTAGCTAACCAATGAAACTAATTTAACTAATTTTTTTTTTAAAAAATTATTATAAACATTAATTTTGAAAAGAAAACTATTATAAGAGAAAAATAGAATCATTTCCTATCAATTCCAAAGAGTAATTTTAAAATAATAGGAATCAAATCATATTTTAAATAAATTTTAAGTAATGTATTTGTGATTTCCTCTGATTTTTATCTTTTATTTTTAATATATATAAAAACTTTTTAATCACTTTTATTTATTTATTTACGGCGTGTATTTGATTGAGAAATGGGTCCTCAAATTGTATTGGGGGTCATTGCTTGACACACACACACACACACACACCTCACTCAGAGTCATGGCAGCAGCGACCTTTACTGGCTCCTCAAAGACCCTTTCCTCTTCACAAATTCAATGAGATTGGTATTGTTTCTCACCCAATTCAACGAACCCATTCCTCAAAAACCATCATTTACAGTATATTCAAGAACAACAAAGCCATGGCTGCTTCTCTTTTGGGTGCTGCTGGGTTTGCCCTCACCCTAGTAGTGGAACCCGCCTCTGCTGCCGAGCATCCATTGATGATGGGTTCTTCTTCTTTGCCGCTCTATGAACACCGAAATGCCCTCTCTTTGCCCACCTGGGCCATCTACGTCTGCAGCGTCGTTGAATGGTCACAACTCTCTCTCTCTCGAAATTGTTTAATTGATTTTTAAATTCTGCACTTGAAAAGGGTTATGGCAATGGCGTTAGTATGGTAATATGGGGAGAAATCTGGGTATGAATCATGGAAGGGGCAGGAGGTGGGTTGAGAGAGATCGTTGATGGGGAAGAATGGGAAAGGGAGAAAGAGAGAGAAAGAGAAAGGGAAAGAGAGTCACCTGGCGGGAACACACTTTGCCTAGCAATGGAGGCTGGCTACATGTGGAGAGCCAAAACGAGAAGGGGCAAAATGCCTCACCATTTGGAGTCCTAGAAATGCAGCTTCAATAGGTAAAATGCCTAATTCTCTCCATTTACCTCATGCGATGCCCTAAGGAAGTCCAACGAAAACCCTCTCTCTCTAAAACTCGTACACTCTCTCTCTCAGCTCTAAGGAAGTCCAACGAAAACCCTAAATATAATATTAGGTTACGAGATCTTGTTTCAAATTTTTTGATTTTCTTTTATTTGTATTTACCAAATTAATAGATCTATGCTGAAGGAAAGTGATAAATTTGTTTCAATTTTTAATTTTTTTTTTCGTTCTTGTTTATCAAATTAGTAGATCTAATGAGATTTTTGCATTTGAGTGAGGTCCAACCTGATACTCGAACATATACTGACTGTGAAACCGAATAGCATAAGTAGACGGTTTCAAAAGGGGTTTGTGTCGAATCAGGTTGACATTTTATCCATCCGAATGTTGGCAGCCAGTTGACAGTTCAGGGGTAAATCCGAACTGACCCAACCGAACCGTGTGGACTGAATGTTCTGGGTTACTTAGCTGGACTTCCTTAGAGCTGTTGTGTGAATGACAAAAAAGTTTGCATATGGTTGCTCATCGTTGTACTTGAAAGGTTCTAATTTCTTGATCATGCACTTTTTGAAATTAGTTTATAAATGCCAATACTTGAAAACAAACTATTCATTGGGAGGTTGAGGTGCATTTTGTGATAATATGTTTTTCTTAATATTGCTAGATCCTCCGGAACTCGCAATGTACAAGAACCGTTTGCAAGAGTACACTAAAAAATCATCCATTCCACTCTCAGTTTATGAAACAATTAATGAAGGAGGAGTTCCACATGAGCCAAGGTTTAGGTCCACTGTCCGGGTGGATGGAGCATCATATACATCTCATGATGTATTTTCACAACGAAAGGCTGCAGAGCAAGATGTTGCCAAGGTGGCATTGGATGGTATAACACAAAAGATACTTATTCGTGAGGTTTGTGGCATGCATGATTTCAATTTTCAACTTACTAAGTTAGGTTTTATTTTAATATTATCGCTTAGTGAAGGGGAGTGTTATGTTACACAATGATTCATCCTCATTTCAACTCACTAGTTCAAGTTTTGCCTTGTTATTTTAAAAGGATTAATTGGCTTGGTAGCTTGAGGCTTTCATATGTTCTTTTTTATGGTTTTTACTTTTAAGTTCTTGCCACTCAAATTTTGACCTTTGGCCGAGTTTTGATTTAGTTTTAGTTATTACCTAATCGGAATTTTTTAAATACATTTCTTCTCTATCTCACTAGAACAAAGTCTCAAAAGAATTATGAATTATGAAATCTAGGTTCTCGTTGGATTATATAGGCATCGCTGGAAGAAAATAAGAGGTCCTAGCACCCTAGGTTAATTTATGGGACCTAGTATGTCTATTTATTATTGGTTTATTCACGTGTCATCGTCTTTGATAGTCTCATTATTGGGACTTTATAATTTATCTTGTTTTGATTGTTCTTTTTACATCTGATAATCCGATGATAAATGGCTGAATCACTTTCTACATGCATATCCTCAAGTTCTAGGTTCAACTACTTGTAGGCAGAACATAGCCTTTTCGAGTGGTCTGGTTTCTTTCTCCAGCCTTTTCTTGTTTGACTTGCGATCAAAATATATTTCATTATGGACCCTGTAGAACCAAGTCATTGTTCAATTAAATTGCTGAGCCCCTATGTCTTTGTTCGTTGTAAGGCAAAGCTGCATGATCCCGGATGAGTGTGATTAAAATTCTTACAAGTTTGACCAAATTTGATTAGAGCAGCATTTATGTGCTATTGCCATTGATTTTTGTGGCTTAATGGTTAGTAAATATACGTGTTCTAAGGGCTGCAGCACGATATTAAAGTGGCGAGGGTTTGGGAGTAATTAAACAAGAAACAATGAAAGTGCAAGGGCTGTTCTGGGTGAGATAAACAGTACCCTGAATGTATCAATCTAAGGAATATGTTCTTGCTTTACAGATTGGCCACTGCCTTACAAGGTGATAGCCTTGAAATGTGGAGTGAGTTCACTCTTACTTCCGGGTGCTTTGAGATAAAAGTTTGGTCTACAGTAAAAAGTTGCATAATTACTCACCTTCCCTATCCAATTGCGTAGTTTCTCTAGTCACTTTTTATTCATCAAAAACGTAGTTTCTTTATTCACCAAGTGGCATGGGACTTGGAGGGACATACCGATGCCCCCGTTTTTTTGTTATGTTGCTGCCAATATTGTCTTGAGAACATTATTACTTATTCAAAAAAAAAAAAAGTCTTTCCAAGTTTCCTACTAGTAAGATAGAATATTTGTAAATGTTGAGATAAGTAGCTGATTGTAGTCTCTTAGAATTTTGTTGCTTAATTCTGATGTTTACAATTATAGCTAGCTCCTGTTTGGTTCTATGATTGTAACAAAACTCCTTCTCTTGTCATTTATCCAGGAAACAGTCTTTTGCAAGTCTATCCTCCATGAATTTCCAGTCTTTTGCAAGTCTATCCTCTCTGAATATGCAGTCAAGATGCATCTGGAGAAACCCACTTACAACACAACTCGGTCAGTGGGGTTGCTTCCACCTCGTGTATCTGCTTTGGTATTCAATAGTGTTACTTACACTGGCGAGGCAGGCAAAAACAAGAAGGAGGCCGAACAGTTGGCAGCACGGAAAGTTGTCCTGTCAATTTTGGGTATTATCCCTTCTGCCCTTACATACAAAATCATTGCTCAGAATACATAGATATATGGATTGTCTCTCTGTGAGCTTGTCTTTCTTTTTGTATATGTATATTTTAGTACAGTATTGTGCATACTTTTGTATACATATTAGCTTTATATATCAGTTATTTGTTTATTTGTTTTTTGGTTCACCTAATTGATTAACTTACATAGAATCCTGATGTAGAATGGGTAAGGACAGCAGTGACAGTGTGCTTTTGGGGCTGATTTTAATTGGGTTTTATGGCTGAAATTTGCAATAAGCACATAGGGGTTCAAAGGGTTTAGGGTCATAAAGGGGTGAGAGTTTGATTATGAAAAGATAAGATTATGGCACTATTTTGGAGGGTTGTGAAAGTATTTGGACTTTTGTAGTGACAAAGAAAGAAAGAAAAAAAGAAGATATTTTAAGAATCACTTCTAAAAACCGTAGGCATCACACCTAGGGTAGGGTTGCATTATATAAACCCAAAAGAGATTTCAAAACTCAGAAAATTTTAAAAAATATTAACTCTATTAAATTATAAGTATTACATGGCTTTATATAGAGCTAGGAGGAGACTTTCTAAATCAACTCAACTAGAATAAAAAAAAAAAAGGAAATGAGTAAATTATTTTGACTTTCAAAGTCAATTTACGACTAAATAAGAAATACAAATAAAAATAAATTATAACTTGACTCACAAGGCTAGGGATGTTTGAAAAATTGAAAAAAATCGATTGAGCAGGATTAAATCGATTATATTTGGTCTGTTTTTTTAATAAGAATTGTTCTGTGTGGTTTTAAATTTGATTTTTTTTTTTAAATTTTCGGTTCGGGATCGGTTCAAACACTTTGTGCATTGAATTAAATTGAAATCGATCACTTCAATATATATTGTATTTATAATATATATAATTTAATAGTATAATGATATTAGTAAGTATAATAAATTATTAACCTTAATTAATTAGTTTTATCATCTTTATAACTTATGTTTGTAAATTCTTATTATATATAATCTTAACGCTACCTCATTATTCTTGAAACGTTAGTATTTTTTATTTTTAACTAGAATTAAAAAAAAAAAAAGGAAATCAGTAAACTATTTTGACTGTCAAAATTAATTTAAGACTAAAGAAGAAACATACTCCTTCCATCCCAAAATATTAGTCTCTCTTCAAAAATAAAGTACAAAAATAATATAAATTTTCTATTTTGTCCTTCTTTTAAATTCATAAATAATATAAAAAGTACAATTATGACATTTATATTTCTCAAAAAATGTACTATCAAAGGATAATTTTGAAAAATTAACTTTTTTAAAGTGTAATAATTATACTACCAAAAAAAGTTGGATTCCTCAAAAGGGACCATTATTTTGGGATGGAGGGAGTAAATAAAAATCAGTTATAGCTTGACTCACAAGGATAGAGATGTAAGAAAAATCGAAAAAATCGATTGAACATGACTAAGGCCAAGTTTGGCAAGTTGAAAAAAAACTAAAAAGTCAAAAAGTTAAAAAGTTATCATTATTTACCAAAAGTCAAAAATTACGGTTGCACAATTCTCAATCTTAATATTTTCCTACACACTAATTTATACAATTTTTTAATACACATTTTTTCATAAAAAGTCAAAAAGTTAACCCAAATATCCATATTTTTTTCCTCAATTTTTTAGTCCAAAAAGACAAAAAGTGCACTTATTTAAGATATCCCAAATGGAATCCGGATCCTCGGTGCCACTTTCCTGCGGCGCATCCTGTCGCCCTCCAAAATGATTGTTTTGGAGGTTTTTTTTTTTTTCTCTCTCTCCCCTCTTTTTCCCTTTCTTTCTTTCTTATCATCAGCAACAGAGAGAGGAGAAGAAAGAAGGGAGAAGAAGAAAGAGAGGAGAAGAAGAGAGGAGAAGAGGGAGAAGAAGAAAGAAGGCACCACCGCAAGCGACAACCTTTGGCCTCCCTTCACCCATGGCGCCACCATCTCCTCGCCATCGCCACAACCCACCTTTCCTTCCTGTTCTTTTTCTTCCTCCTCCTTTCTCTCAATAAAACTACCAACCCAGCAACCATCTTCTTAATTCGAAGTAGTTTTTTGGGTTTTTTTCTTGGATCTGTATGTAAGATATGAACTATTCTCATACACTTTGCTAGATCTAATGTTTGACTGTTTGTATTGATCTAATTTTTATTAATTTTGATCTACCATCTAGGATGTTCAAGTGTTATTCTGTATATATATACATGTACATCTCCAATTTTTGAACCTCATATTTTTTTTTTTTGATCTAATGTTCAAGTGTTTGTATTGTTGTTCAAAAATCTGAGATGTATGTATACATCTAGAAATGTACCACAATCTCTCTCTCTCTCTCTGCTCATGTTCTGCTTCAAATTTCTCTCCACCCAAAAAAAGAGAGTGATTTATATGATACTTTTTTCCATATATCCAAGCCAAGAATCAAACTAGGGAGAGAAATTGAGAGTGAAATTCATGTTCTGCTTTGCCTTGTATCTGGTTTCTCAGTTGATGGGCAGGAAAGCCATTGTCATCAATGGACAAAGAGCACCCCTGGGTTCTGCTCTGTTTGATTTTTTTTTTTTCCTTGAAAAGTTGCCCCAAAACGACGTCGTTTTGGGGCGCTACAAGGAACGGCTGTAGACAAGGGCGACCGAGGATCCGGATACACCCCAAACAACCCATAAATTGGTTATATTTGGTCTGTATTTTTAATAAGAATTGATCTGTGTGGTTTTTAAATTCGATTTTTTTTATTATTTATTTTCAGTTCGGTATCGGTTCAAACTCCTTGTGCATTGAATTAAATCGAAATCGATCACTTCAATATATATTATATTTATAATATATATAATCTAAAAGTATAATGATATTAGTAAGTATAATAAATTATTAATCTTAATTAATTAACTTTATCATCTTTATAACTTGTGTTTGTATATTCTTATTATATATAATCTTAACGCTAACTCATTATTCTTGAAATCTTAGTATTTTTTATTTTTAACTAGAAAAAAAAAAGGAAATTAGTAAACTAATTTGACTTTCAAAATTAATTTAAGACCAAAGAAGAAACATAAATAAAATTCAGTTATAGCTTGACATAGATGTAAGAAAAATCGAAAAAATCGATTGAACATGACTAAATTGGTTATATTTGGTTTGTTTTTTTTTAATAAGAATTGGTCTGTGTGGTTTTTAAATTTGATTTTTTTTATTTTTTTATTTTTGGTTCGGTATCGATTCAAACACCTTGTGCATTGAATTAAATCGAAATCGATCACTTCAATATATATTGTATTTATAATATATATAATCTAAAAATATAATGATATTAGTAAGTATAATAAATTATTGATCTTAATTAATTAACTTTATCATCTTCATAACTTATGTTTGTAAATTCTTATTATATATAATCTTAACGCTAACTCATTATTCTTGAAACCTTAGTATTTTTATTTTTATTTTATTTTGTTAACTTAGGAATTGAAAAGTATTTATTAAATGGATGGATTGGATATGTTTAAAGTGGTGAACAAATAACTAATTTAATATTTTTATATAAATTAGTGATTACATGTAAAAGTGAAAGTACTAATTTAATATTTTTATATAAATTAGTGATTACATGTAAAAGTGAAAGTTTAAGAAGTCCTAGTTCAATCAAACCACATCAAACCAAACCGTTCCAATCGGTTCATCAAACTAACCTTAATGTAACATTCTAATGTAACACACGAAAATTCCTTACTGTAACATTCTAATGTAATACACAAAAAAACTCATTAGTGTACTTTTTTCAAACATAACACTTCAATATAATACTCTAAAATAATTCCTTATTATAACACTTTAATGTAAAACAAACACACACACACACACACACCCACACACACCCACACAAACTTTTTAGTGTACTTTTTCTAAACGTAACACTCCAATGTAACACTAAAAAAAAATGTGAGATTCTTCAAACCATTCCAAAAGGAGTATAAATATTCCTTAGTAAGTTTTGAGCAAATATATAATTTCAAACTGTGAGTGTTGCATTTAAAAAAAATACACTAAGGAGTTTTTTTAGTGTTTTTGTGTTACATTGGAGTGTTGCATTTGGGAAAAGTACATCAATGAATTTTTTAGTGTGCTACATTGAAGTGTTATGTTATTAGAGTGTTACATTAGAGTTTAGGTTTTGGTTCGTAATGTGTAATTTGTTCTAGAATGAGGAAAAATTCAAAACTTCTATAGTGTAAATTGCCCAAATGTGTGATTTTATATTTTGAGAAATCACTTTTATCTCTAAAAAATTAAACCCAAACATGTAAGTGACTACATTTTTATTTAATTTCCACTTTAATAAGACTTTTGGGTTTATAAGAAAAAGGGGAGGACTAAATTGTTCACAAGATCATATTTTGATATTTATTGGTGTTTCACCCTTACATCAATGAAGAGTATTTTTAAAAAAAAATATTTTTTACTAAAAAAGCAAAAAAAATATAACTGTAGTGACATCAATGAAGAGTCTTTTTTTTTTTTCTTTCTAAATTTTAAATATTTTTTTTAAAAATATTTTATTTTATCTAGGTTAGATGTATGTAAAAAGTAAAAAAAAAAACTTAAAATATTAAAAAGATTGATTAAAAACAAAAAAATACGAAAAATAAAAAAATTCGATTTTCAAAAAATTAAAACCAAACAAAGTGATTATTTCCTGCTCAAGCAATGTTTAGTTTGACAAAAAAAAAACGTTCATTCTTTTATTTTGAAAAAAAAATCCCTTTTAAATTCTAGGGACAATTGTAAAAAAAAAAAATCCCAAGGTTAAACTTGCCTCGTTTGAGAATAGACTATTTTAGTATTTTTTTGACTTTTTAGCTAAAATATGAGGTAAAAAAAATTAGTATATCTGGAATGACTTTTAATTTTTTAAGAAAAAATATGTAACTTACTGTTTGCATAATTCAATGTGTAGAACTCATCGAGTACTATATGTCTATGAAAAATCACATTAATTAGATATCGATAGCTATGTGATCAAATTAGTTTTGTATGAAAAAAAAACGGTGAATAAATTAACGGTTGATAAAAAACTAATCCGATGAGATAACTATCG